AGTCTTAGTCTTAGTCTTAGTCATAGTGAGTCATAGTCATAGTCATAGTCTTAGTTTTAGTCTTAGTCTTAGAGTCTGAGTCTGAGTCTTAGTCTTAGTCTTAGTCTTAGTCTTAGTCTTAGTCTTGGTCTTGGTCTTAGTCTTAGCGAGTCTTAGTCTTAGTCTTAGTCTGATGCTTGAGTCATAAATCAAATTAGAGTCATTAGTCATTAGTGCCATTAGAGTCTATGAAAGTATTACTGTATTTCGTGTCAGTATTAGTCATTAGTTATGTTTGTTAGTTAGTCATGGTCTCTTGGTCTTAGACTAAGACTAAGACTAAGATTCAGACCAAGACAAAAACTAAAAGACAAAAGCTACTAAGACCACCGCTGTAACACTAACGCTAATACTGAGTCTTAGTATTAGCCAGCCTAGTAGTATTAGTCAATTAGTAGTAGAGTCACAGTAGTCACAGCATTTGAAATATTAGGCTATAGGCTATAGGCTTTAGGCTGATAGGCTTAGTGGTTAGAGTGGTTAGTTAGTAGTAAGTTAATTGAAGTTGTGAAGTCTTGACTCGACTCTGAGGCCAAGGAGAACCCGGGGGGGGGGGCGGCAGACAGACGTCTGCTGCTGCTACAAAGACGTCATCCGTGCAAGCGCTGCTATGCATGCTCGCGTTGAACCTCCACAAGGTTCAAGCTCCATCAGCTGAAGTTTCCCGGTTTATTCAGGTGCGTCTGCATAAATATGAACTGAGCTCATGTCACGTCGTGTCATGTCACTCATGTCCAACTAATAGATATATGTTTCGATATGCAGCATTGTTTGTACTTATAAATTTGTAGCTTGTAACTTGTAACTTTGTAACATATGAGTCATATGAGCAATAAGCAATATGCAACTAATATTTAACTCGATTTTAGCTGTGACTCTGACTTTATTTTTGAGTCGAATCAGAATTCAGGCTATTCATAGGCTCATAGGGCGTGCGGCATCGGCATGGGAATCATAGCTTCAGGGCCGGGTGCTGTAGCTTTTAGTGAGACGTGATAGTTCGAAGCCCTGGCTGGTTTTTTTCGGCTGTAAGCCAAGTCGAGTCCGCGCTCTGGGAACTTAGGACTTGTCGGCTGCCCGCCCGTGTTCTTCTACCTCCCCAACTGCTCAGCCAAGTTTTCGGCTGGCAGCCATGGATTCGGACGCCAAGTCGCAGCACAGCGCTGCCTCCACAGTTGGTGGGTCGAGTGGAATGGTGGTTGACGGTGTCGTTTTCTTGAGGATCAGGCAGTGCGTGACTTGCGGGCGCAAGAACTGCGACCCCAACGAAATGACAATTGAGAAGGCAGAGCGGTTCACGCAGTGGCACCGCGGCAGCAGCACCGACCCAAACAGCAAGTACTGCCGTTTGTGCCACCTGACACACTTTCATGGAGGCTTTTCAGAGCAAGGTGCCAGTGTGGAAGACATCGCAGTGCAGATGCGAAAGGACGCCCAGTTGAATGCCGAGTTCCTCGAGGCCCGTGCAGAGATGCTTGCTTTGGTCAATGAGGGCAGAGTGCGTTTCAGAGGCACGACAGCAAACTCTGCTAAAAAGAGGCTGCAAGAAGTGCGCCAAAAGGTGACGGAAGAATTCAAAGTAAGTGAGCAAGAGCTCGTGACAGCGTACGTGGCCTACGAAAGAAGCAAGTTCGAGACAGACTTCCCTGGCCGCATCGAGCAGCAAAACTTGAGGACGACGTGGAAGTACATCGACGGACAGCGGCGGGAAGTCGTCCTTGTGAGGAAGCGTGCTGATGGTGAGTGGGACTTGAACATCAAGGAGCGCGCTGGTGTTGCCCAAAAGGAACAAGTGGACAACTCTGACTTGCAGATCAGCGCCAAGCAGCATTTGCGGAAGTACGAGGGTTCCAAGAAGCGGTTGTTTCAGCAAGTGGAGGGGAAAACCAACAGCGTTGCGGCAGCCCTTGAAGGACCAACACCTAACAAGGAGACGCCGGCTGTCAACCCGAACCCAGCAGAGGAAGGGAGTGACTCGTCTGACGACGGGTTAGCTCGCCGCTCTTCGCTGTTTGAAGACGCAGCCAGCCCGCCCAAGAAGAGAACAGGAACAGGTTCCGGGCCGGCAGGCCCAAGTGCTGGAAGGACCCACTCAACACGAGCTGCACCAAACCCCGGCGGGCCTGGCCAAAGCAGCACCGTCACACCGAGCAAGAACGCGAAGGCGGCCGCTGCAGCGGATGCCCCAACCGCGGCCAAACCACGTGGGACTACGGCTGCGACCCAGGCCACGGCGAATGCATCGCCAGAGCTGGCTGAGCGTGGGCGCCCCAACAAGTTCAAGGGCAAATCCAACGTCGAGGTGTTGGAGAACAATGGCTTGCTGGACGTCAAGCGCTTGCAGGGCCAAACGAAGCTTGCCTAGTTCAGGCTAGTTCGTCAGTTTGTCATTAATAAGAGAGTCTGTGAGGTGTGAACTTGTGAACCATATTGACGG